TATCTATGAAGCGCCTTGAGGCGACTTTTGTTGTGATTTGGCGCTATATAAATAAAATTGAATTGAATTGAATTGTTTCAGAGATGGGATAAAGTCATGTTTAGACATGGGGTGTCTAAATATGACTTTGGCTTTAGGTCAGGAGGTAAACCAGGTCATCTACTAATTGGAAGGTTGGTGGAATGATCCCGACTGGGAACATGAGTGTGTGTGAATGTTGGATAGAAAGCATTTAGGCGAAGAGAAAGTTCTTATATAAATGGATGAATGAGGACATTAAAGTAGGGAAAAAAGTGCTATATAAGAACCAGTCTATTTAGACCAAACATGAATTATTATTGTAGGGTCTTGACCTTACAATATAAAGCGCCTTGAGGCAACTCTTGTGATTTGGTGCTAAGTAAAAGAAAAACAAAATCTGAAAAGAAGTGAACGCTGGACTGTTTATGGACAACTAACAACCATTTGTGTATACAAATGTTTATATAATTACAGCTAGGTCTGTACTTTGTTGGACAAGGGTACTATTGATAGTTTTGCCTCTCTACACCACCATATTGGATATTCGAATTTAAAAAAACAAAAAAAATCAACTTGAATTCAAAGTTTTACAAAGGCTTAACCAAATCCCAACAATCAGGTGACCCCCAATGAGCAGCCACTTTGGTGACAGTGGGAAGGAAAAAGTCCCTTTAACATGAAGAAACCCTCTGCAGAACCAGGCTTAGGGAGGGCCAGCAATGTGCTGCAACTGGTTGGGTTAAGGGGAGGAAGACGGGACAAAAGACATGCCATGGAGAAGAGTCAGAGATAAATAATACCCAACTATTAGATGCAGTGTGGTGTATAAATACATGGTAAGTGAAAAGGGGTGAAAAAGGAACATTACTAAGGGTGGATTCAGGGTCACCTGATCCAGCCCTAACTGTAACTTTTGTCAAAAAGGAAAGTTTTAAGCCTAATCTTAAAAGTAGAGAGGTTGTCTGTCACCTGGGGCCTGAAAGCTGAAGGCTCTACCTCCCATACTACTTTTAAATATCCTAGGAACCACAAGTAAGCCAGCAGTCTGAGGTCAAAGTGCCCTGTTGGGGTCATTAAGATAAGATGGGGCCTGATTATACAAGACCTTGTATGCGAGGAGCAAGATTTTGAATTCAATTCTGGATTTAACAGGAAGCCAACGAAGAGAAGCCAATGTAGCAGAAATATGCTGTCTTTCTAGTCCCTGTCAGAACTCTTGCTGCAGCATTTTGGATTAACTGAAGGACCTCCTGATGATAGTGAATTACAGTAGTCCAGCCTACAATTAATAAATGCATGAACTGGTTTTTCAGTGTCAGTCTGAGACAGGATATTTCTAATTTTAGAGATTTTACGCAAATGGAA